GCTGAGGTTATCAGCGCATATCAGATTAATATCTGTACAATAAGCCGTGAAAGCCTTACAGTCACACTCAGCAGTTCTGGAAAACTATCCGGAGCTTTAACAGTTATTACTTTACTGTCTTGTTCCTGATCAACTGCTTGTGCAGAACACCTTATTAGATATTGATTTGTACCCCACCTTTACACCAATTAAGCTAATCTGAGCCCAGTTAATCACTTTAGACGACCATATTAAAATGCTCAGCTTAACAGAAGAAATAAACAAGCTTGCAGTTTGAGAAGGAATCAAAACGTTTTGGTCTCTATAGCTGTTTTCTACAGTGGCCCTGAGAGACCAAACGGACTGCAACTTAAGAAAACACCAGCAATAAGAAAAATGCTGCAAAAGCAAACAAAACACAACGGAAATAGGAAAAAAGCACAAGGGAAGTGTTTCTGGGGAGACAATAACCCGACGGACCAATTGCAGGAACCAAAATATGGTAGTCGTGTTTTATCATGATTCATTTATTACTGATAACGGATTTTTAGGCTAATAGTTAAGCTAACACGCTTACCTTTCATCTTTTCTTTCCTCATAAAACTGATATATCCTCCACTTCTTTTAAGTGTCTCCTAGCGCAATTCTTAGCATATTTTGGTTCCTGCAACTGGTCCGTCGGGTTATTGTCTCCCCAGAAATACTTCCCTTGTGCTTTTGGAAATCAGTTTTTTCCTATTTCCGTTGTGTTTTGTGGGCTTTTGCAGCATTTTTCTTATTGCCAGTGTTTTAAGTTGCAGTCCGTTTGGCCTCTCAGGGCCACCATAATTTTCCCCTTTCATAACAACTTTATGGAGGTGGAAATGTGTTCATAACTCATCTTAACATTAGGGACATCCAACTTAGACTGTCTGCAGTCACTCTCAGACCGACTGGCAAATAATTAACAATAATTAACAGAAAGCAAAAGATGGCAATAAGCTTGAGTCAGTCTGCTATTTTATCACTTTGAAAATAGCAACTGGCTGCGAGCGGCTGCAGACCTGTTGCTATTTTCAAAGCAACGATTTCAAAGGAAAAAGGATCGACATTCACTGCAAAATGTAACAATAAATGTGGTCATCTCGCGGTCTCCAACCACTGTTGTCTCTAGTATGATTGTTGCCATGGTACAGGGTCGTGTGACCCAGTGTTTGAGTTTTA